CATACACATGCACATACACATACACATACACATACACATACACATGCACATACACATACACATACACATACACATACACATGCACATACACATACACATACACATACACATACACATGCACATACACATACACATACACATACACATACACATGCACATACACATACACATACACATACACATACACATGCACATACACATACACATACACATACACATACACATGCACATACACATACACATACACATACACATACACATGCACATACACATACACATACACATACACATACACATGCACATACACATACACATACACATACACATACACATGCACATACACATACACATACACATACACATACACATGCACATACACATACACATACACATACACAACACATACACATACACACACACACTTAGCGAATTATATAAAGGAGGATTCTCCTAGAGCCGGGTCGGACTTTGAGTAAAAGGGGAGGTTTAAGCCGCGTCGTGCAAGCAAAGCGATGAGATGATCATGTTTCTACGATGAATCACCAAAACATTCGCAGGTGGAGCGGGGAGCCGCAGTCGACGGAGGTCCCTTCTCGTGGGCGGTTGCAACTTTCCCAACTCTACTCCGAGGGCGAAGCCCTGGCCTTAGCGAACATTTTCCCTGACGTCTTTGCTCTGTCTTTGTGTACCGATGTATTGCCATTCTATGTATTGCATTTTTGTATGCCTTATGACTCTCTTTGAGATCCCTAAACATGTATTGGTAAAGATTGCTCATCATTTGGTCGATTTCCAAATAAAAGTGTCATAACGAATCGGTTTTCCACAGAAGCAGAGGCACCATCGCGCTAGCTTACTAACTGCCATGGTGCCGGCAATACAGAATCCTCTGTAGCCGGTCGCAGGAGCTGAACAGCAGAGCAATACACAACGTATTTACCAACAGAAGAATAAGCACTCGAAGGAACAGAGCAGTGAATGATAAATTTAGGTCTAATTGACGATCGACGCTCAACACAGTTCGTGAAGGATTCACTCTTGGCCCTGACGAGGGTTCCTAGATTCGCTCTTCCCTGGATTCTCGCTGGGGAAAAGGGTGTAAGGGCCAACGTCACGGTTCTGACACATCGCAATGAAAAAAGGCCATTTGAACGTTCGCGCCCTCCGCAAACAACTTCTTGGGGTCATTCTCTTTTCCTCCGCCTTAGGTGTTATCTATACGGCCCGGGTGTGTGTCAAGTCGTGCGTCCGAGGGTGCGCGCGGCAAACTGCGCGGCGGAATTCGTGGCGAATTTGGACGACTCCGGCGCCTATCGTTGGGGCCCAAACCTGAAGTAAGGTAGATTAGTAAGGTCAGCTGAGCCTACTATTCTACTCTACTTCGAAATTGGACCCAAATAATAGGCGCTAAAGTCGTCAGAATAGGTATTGGTTTCGCCGCGCGATTTGCCGCGCGCACCTTCGGACGCACGACTTGACCGTCCCCCATACGCCCCATCCAAGGGATCTTAGGTCTCCGTACAGAGAACGCAAGAAGTAGATAGCTGTAGCTACGGTACACAAATAGGTAATTGCAGAGCAAACCGTGCGCCAATCTTTCAGCGTGCAAAAGTTTAAAGCGAGTCTAGTTAACCTGAATAGTAATGGTATCATTCTCTTTCTAATCATCATGAGGTTTCCATTTCATAGTACGGCTGTCTTCGATCGAACAGGGGTGATTGCTGCGGTTCGCGAAAGGTCAGAGACAACGTCAGAGGGCGGGAAAATTGCAGAAACCGCCCGCTCATTCGGCCGTCTGCGCTCGACGTGTGCTGCTGCACCATTTTTTTGTATGTATCTCCTATAGATAATTTTCCAGTCCAATTTCGTAATCGTTTCCTCTCTGAGTCTTCTTTTTTGGAAGTTTTCGAGGTAGAGGAAGTCAATGTGTGTGGCTTTTCGCGTATGCAATCGATCGAAAATGGCTTTGCAAAACGGCGGAGAGAGAGATCATTTGTCAGTTGCTTAGGAGAAATTTACCGGCTTTGTCGGCTGTTGCATAAAGGTGAATGAAAGCTGGAGCATAAAGGTGAATGGAAGGTGGAGCATTATTATGGGATTGAAGCCATGGTAACCGCACTGAGCTAATTGCTGAGAAAAAGGAACGGGAATCGCATAAATAGTTTATGTACCGCTCCAAGATGCTACCTGTGAGTTTCCTTATCAAATAATATACCAGTATAACAGTTCCGTATAAGGGTCGTGCTGTTCACTGGAACTGAGCTGCTCCAATAGTAAATGTGCCCTTCCTACTGTGGTTTGTAATTGACAGAGAAATTTAGACTTCTGTCATTTATCAAAAACTGTTTATCGCTCCGGGTATCAATTTCATCAACACAAATTGTTTTCAGAAGACTGTGTGAAATGAAATGTATGACGGATCAGCCGAGTAAGGAATTGTTATTGCGCTTAAGGAAGTCTGCCTTGATGGGACATTTTTGTTTATTACACATCACCCTGACTTGTAATTCGCAAAGAAGTCGATCACAACACTTCCACGTAACCTTTCTAGTTCGTGCGGTTGGGCGTCGCTTATCACTTGTAAGGAAAGCTTATTTTGACTGATAAGAAAACGCTGTCGTGGTCCCGGTGCCGCGTCCGTATTTACTGTGACCTTACGTGGCAAGTTAGGTTGTGCTCAAAATTTTAATGTTTTCCGATCAAGTGATTCCTTGCAGATGTCGAAGGCTTTCATTGGAAAACCCGCACCAGACTTCGCCACAAAGGCAGTTTACAATGGCGATTTCATCGACGTGAAACTATCTGACTACAAAGGCAAATATACAGTGCTCTTCTTCTACCCGCTAGATTTGTAAGTCAACTGTATTTTATAACTAAATGTTGCGGCTGGGTTCAGAGACTAGAGAACGGTCAAGTTCAGTTCAGCGCAGAGTTCATTTTGGCTATCACAGCAGTGAATTAGTTAAATTTGGGGTGAAAATGTACTTAGAGGGGAGGGGACAGCTCTTTTCCAACACTGAGCTCTGAGGACCTCAGAGAAGGAGGGCTAGTTGACCTTGCTTGTGCTCAGAGAATGTTCTCAGTCAAAATAATATAGTTTCCAACTGAGCCTTAGTAGGGGAGGTGCACCGGGTGCGCGAGAGCATTTTCTTGTGCAAAAAGTTGGGATCACGTAAGAATCGGACGACCAATTGACTCACCCACTCCAGTGTCCTTCCCTCCTAATGTTTAGATCAAGAAAAAAAGCTATTTCTCTGCTAAGAAACGTTCCTTAGATATGGGCTCGCGGAATCTGCCACTGTTCCTTCTCCGCGTCTCATAATCATTGGGCTTAGATCTAATGTTCTTTCTCTGCGCTTCATAATTACTGGTTTTTGATATCTGAAGAATAATGCGCCGACTTTGAGTACACAGAATTGGCAGTCGCGTTCCAGATAGATAATCACATTTAATCGTCTTTGCAGTACAATGGGCATCGAAGCTGCAAGATCTTGCAGTGAAAGAGGAGGTAGTTGTAGAGCTTCATTTCATGGATCAGATTTTAGCTTCTATTAGAAGTCGAGAAAAGAAGAGCGCTTATTTACGAAATATGTTTTCTAAACCGGAATTGCACGACGAGCACTTATGACTATCATTATTTGCAACTGATTCTTACATGAGTGAAGGAATCCACTGACCTTCTTCGATACCTTCAACGCTGTTCTGAAAATGCTAAGAGATTTGTAATGCTTTCGAGGACAATAGCGCACAAGCTATCGCTAGCCTTAAATACATGTGCTGTCCTGCTTGATACTAAAATCCTAATTCTGGCTTTCGAGCAGATTTATACATGAGGAAACATAGGGCGGTTTTTGATGCAACGTTGCTGTGTAATGTTGATGGTATCGAGTGGTGCGTTCGCCGTCGAGTTTGTTGAACCGTGATGCCCTTACGAAAACTGGTTTGAATTGTCATCACATAGCACCTTACAGAGTACGAACTTTGCTTTGAATTGTCATCACAGTGCACCTGACAGAGTGCGAACTTCTTCAAAGGGAATGACCCATGCTCTTTTTGCACAGTGGAAATAATTCTTGAATGTTAGCATTACAGCATCACGCATTTTCTTTTCTCAAGCGATTTCAATATGAACACTTGTGCAAATAATTTGGTAACTGGGCAGGGCTCGAAATCTTCTAATTTTGTGGTGAAAATGGTGCAGTTAGATTATTACCTCGTGCAAAAGCTAGAATGGGGGAAGAAATGAGCATTCGGATGATCATTGATTATTATTACTTTTAACCCAAGTAACTAATAGCATACCATCCCTGCGGAGACACTCACCCACCCAACGCAGTTCTCCTCCTCTTCCTAGCTTACATCCTCCTGACCAAGACACCATCAAGACACATTCCAATCAAGATTCAGACGCGTAGAGCCAGTCACGAACGCAACAAAATGTACATGCCCGTCCGTGGCAATTTGCCAACTATTG